GAGATGTTTGGCAACACTGCGGAATCTGGGCTGTCCTGGTCCGCGCAGGCATCAGGGGCTTCAGGGCTTGTGTCCACGTGCCTGCACAGAGGGACTCGTCTTCGTCCTGCTGCCCCGTGCTCCAGCCCGTCATGATGTTGCTGCCCGGGCCCCTCCCCGAGCTGCCTGGGCAGACAGAGCCTGGGTAGCGCCAGGGAGATGAGCAGAGGTGTAAATTGTGTGGCGGGCTGCCGGCTCTGAGGTGAAAATGAAAAGTGTTCAGGCAGCGGCGGCAACAGGAACAGCAGGCTGGGGTGCCAGGCACAGCACCCCGCCTCCCTGCCCCTCTCCCGCACACCTCCCTCCTTCCAAAGTCTTCCCCAGTCTCCTGCCAGCCTGGCTCCTCTGCCATTCACAGGGTGCTCCCAGACCGGCCCTGGGCCGTATCTCAACCCCAAGAGCGCCTTTACCTCTTGCTTCCGTTTTGTTTTCTAATTGGCCGAGTGGTGCACAGAACAGCAGGCTGTGCCATAGTTAGTGTGGTGTCTTCGACTTCGGTCGTCCCTGCATTGATGGGATTTGTTTTCGTTGTCTTTTCTTGAAAAACTGGTGTTCTCACTTCTTCCAGTTCCTCTCTTCTTTTGGGAACGCTTGTTCTAATCCCTTCCTTTCGTAGTTGGGGAAACTGAGGCCCAGAAGGAGCTCTCCATGTGTCAGAAGCCAGGCCAAGGCTCCCGGGTCCTGTCTCCTCCCTGACAGGCCTGTCTCACTCCCAGTCTTTTTTGTCACTCAGAGCTTTGGGCCCTCCTGCTGCGAGGGGAGAGTCAGGTTCTCGCTGCTGGCATTGCACGGCCCCCAGAGCAGCCCACGGGGAGGCTTAGGTTCTTGGCCAGAAGCTGTTGGAAGGTCTGGTGGGGAGGGGGAAGCTGACGGAAGTTCCTGGGCAGAGTAATGACAACGTGCTACATTCTAGCCACAGCCTCCCTGCTGCGCCTCCCCCAAGCCTCTGCACACGCCATGCAGACCGGCTGCCTGAGGGGCCTCTGGGGTCTGAGCCCCCACTCTCAGGGACCGCTGTGTGTGCGGGCGGGTGCACATCATCAGCGTCTGTAATTAAAAATGAGCGTGCATCGCTTCACCCAGCGAGGAGATGCCACCGCCGCGGCTGGGAGGCAGCAGCTGCTTGCTGGCTGTGCGGCCCCCTGGCCGTCCAGCCTGGCACGGAGTGATGGTAGGGCTGGGCAGCAAAGACCTAGGGCCCCTTAGCCCAGTGAGGCAGGAGGTGAGGGGCTATGATGGGGCGGGGATATATTGGGCAGATCTCACGTAGGAGAAGTGTGATCTCCACCTTGGCCCACTCCCATGGCCGCCTCCTTGTGGACATTTGTGGCCACCGAGCTCTGAGCAAACCCAGCCCCTGTGTAGCTTGGGAAGCAGGATCCACCTCCAGGCTACTGCCTGCGCCCGACGTCTTCTGTCTCTCATCCCCTCCCCACCCCAATTGAAGCCAGGCGCAAGCCCGAGCTCCCTCCTCCCTGCTAGTTCAGAAAGGCCTTGCAGCCCCTGTGGGCAGACCTGGCCCCTTTGTGGAGCCCAGGGCTGAGCGGGCCGAATGCCTCTCCCTGTCCAAGAGATGGGCTGGGCCCGAGGAGAGCAATGTGCCGCCCAGTAGCTGAGGCAATGCCCTGGGCACCCTGTGGAAGGCACGTGAACTGCTCTTCCCTGGTCTGCCTGTACTCCTGGGTGGGTGAGCCCATGTTGGTGCTGGGTGGGGCTGTGAGGGGAATGTGCTGGTGACCAGGACCTAGAAATCCCTGCGTGACGGGTAGGCCCCAGGTGCCCCTCTTGCCTCTGATTAGGGAAGGCCCAGGTGGGAGGAACGGCCTGGAGGTGTGTCTGGGGCACTTTCCAGCGGTTCCTCATGACACCTTGCACGACTCACTGTCTTCTTCCTGTTAGGTGGCAAGGACTGTAGACATCCATATCCCTCCCACCTTGGAGAGGAGCCCAGGGTCGCCTCGAGTCTGTGTGTAGAAGTGAGCTGCCAGCAGCTTCAGGGTGGCCAGCCCAGGCTCCCCTGCCCCCTTTGGCTCCCTGGACCTGGAAGGAGGTATGCCCAGGGCTGTGAGGACGCCAGGCCCATCCAGATTCCTTTACCCGGCAGTCCCAGCCCAGTGTGCCATTGAGCTGGCGTCCTTGGCCATTGGCAGTCTGCTCTCCAAGGGCTCCCTGGGGCCAGCTGAGGGAGAAGCAGCTGGCCTCGCCTTCCTCCAATGATTTTCCAATATTTACCGGCTCATCGACATGCCACCTGGGCCGTAGCTCCTACTGTGCGGTGAGGCCCTGAGAGCCAGCCCATGGCCACTCTGTCCTCCCTCAGAGGCTGCACCTGCCCAGGCGGGAAAGGACTATGCTCCCTACCTGGTCACTTGGGGACAGTGCAGATGGTTAGCTTGCCCCTCACCCACTAGACTCAGGCTTGCTCAGTGGGCAGAGCATGGAGGGGAGGGGAGGGTCTCCCAGGAAGGGCTGCAGGAGCGACTTAGAAACCCCTAAGTCTGAATTTTGACAGGATCTAGCATATATTACAATGGATTGAGGATGAGCAGTTTATGGGGGCTTTTATTAGCTCTGTGCTTCCCTCCTCTGGGTGGAGGGGCCAGGATCCCCAGGTGGCAGGGGGTGGGACAGTGGCCTGGAGACAAGTTCAGGCAGCTGGTGCCCCCTGTGTGGGTGCGTTGAGGAGGGAGGGCTGGGCAGGGAAGGAAGGGTTGTGTAGCCGGGCCTCACTTTTCTCTCCATCCTCTGTCTCTCCGATTCCTCTGTTCTCCCCGATGGCTTTGAGATGAAGGCGATGGCAAGGATGGAGGATGTGGTTTCCATGGCAACGGGGCTGTCCACAGCCAGGCAACTTCAGAGCCCGGCTCTCCGGAGGAGGCAGATGCGCAGAGCAGCCGCAGAGCTGCCTCCTGCCTGCCAACGAGGGGGCTGGCGGAGCAGGTGGCACAGGGTGGCTGCCTGGTGCTGCCCACCCTGATGCCCAACCTAGAAGAGAATATGGAAAGAGCACGGCTTCTTTTTATCCCTGCTGCTGCCAAGCTTCCCCAAAGTGAAGCTAGGGAGGTAGCCCGAGAGGTGGTAGGGCTTGGGACAGGGTCCTGTGTTTGCCCACGGAGTCTCTGGGAACACTCTGAGCTGTCTGCAGCTGTTGAGTAGTCGATGGCCACTTGGCTGCTGTGCTTTGGACCCTTTGCCTGGCCAGAACACGGGGCTACTAGTGGAGACCATGCCCCGACCAGATCTGGGGACGGACCCTCTTTATGTCTTTAGCCACCAGCCAAGGCACTGCTCTTGCTTCAGGAAGCCTTCCTGACCTGGCCTTCAGAGCCCTGGTGCAGTTTGCTGAGTGGGGCTCTGGCTGGACAGATGCCTGCCCCAGGCACTGGAGGACCCCAGAGTAGCTCCTGCTTCCTGGCCTCCTGTTCTTGTTTAGCCTCCTCCTGAGGGCCAGGGCGGGGCCAGGCATGTGAGTGGGTGGAGGGGCAAAGGTGTGTTTAGGCTGGGGGGAGTTGATTGGGCGTGTGGACTCCTGAGGTGGAAGGGGTCCAGAGAGCAAATGGGTTGGCAGGAGAGATTGGGTTGGAACTGTTAAAAATCATGACTTGGCCTTTCTGACCTCGGAAGCCTCGGGGCTGGGGTGGTCCACTCCGCTCCTGTGCACGTAGAGGCTTAGGACGAAGGGCTTTGCCCCAGCACCCATGGCGTTCAAGGCCCAGCTGCTGCAGCCAGACCCAGGCTGTCCATCCTTCACGTGGCCTAGACGTACGTGCCCCCCAGCCGGCTGAGGTCCTGGCTGGCCGAACCTCTCAGCCGCCGCCTCCTCCTCTTTGTGCTCTGTGCACTCATTTTTACCCCTCTTTGCTTGCTTTAATTGGAGGAGGTTCCTTAACCCCAGGGTTGGCTGAGCCGGCGACAGGCGAGTCCTGGAGTGGCTTCTCCCCGCCAGGCGCTAAGTCTCTCATTACTGCTAAGTGGAAGGTTCATTCCAGAGCTCGTGGTGAGAGCCAGCGGTGCTATAAATAGCCGTGTTGTGAAGGTTGGCGGGCGAGCGGTGACAGGGCAGGGCCTCACGGTCTTCTTGGTGGGTGATTGTGTCCCAGTGTGGGCCAGGGGGGCGAGCTCCGGAGCGAGAGATACCTGACGCCCATTCTCATCGTCCCTGCCTGCCTCGGGCGACTCTGGCAGGTGTCTGCTCTCTGTTCCACATGCTGGCACTGGCGGGTGGGGAGCAGTCTGTGTGCAGCGGAGGGCGGGTGGAGTACCTGTCAGAACCTGGGCTCTAGAAGCAGCTGCCCCTGCAGCCCAGGGCCCAGCTCCACTCCCGCGGCTCACATCTGGGCCTGCGTGTGAGGAGGTGTGGCACAGTCTCAGGAGTTGGCACAGTCTGGAACTAGCAGGGCAGCAGCAGCGGAAGGGGCTTGGCTGGCCTGGAGCCTCTGTCCGGGCTCTGTGGCACCATGTCCGCAAGGGCAGGGCCCCTGGCCTTGTCTGTTGTCTGTGGCTTGGTGTGCGTTGTCCAGGGTGGGGAAGAGGTCAGAGCCAGGGGTCCTCTGATGGCTTGGCCCCTGGCGCCATGGTTTATGGGGTCCCTGTCTCGGGTTGGTCCAGGGGTGATAAACTGTTTGGCTCTGTGAAACCGTGCCTTTTAGAATCATTTGTCAGTCCCAGGCATGCATATAGGATTTAGCAGGCTCCTGACCTTTTCCAGCACCTGCCCCTGGGAGTTGTCCTAAGGCCTCCTGGGTCCTCAAACTGCTGCCCCCTGCAGTGTGGGGCCCTGCTCAGAGGGTCCTCCCTGTGTCTGCCTCCTCAGCAGAGGTCTGGAAAGAAAGAGATGATGATGGGACCAGAGCCAGCCCTGTCAGAGGGAACAGGCCAGAGACAGCTCCCGGGGCCACCCAGGACCAAGTGGGTCAGGGGCTCCGGAGGACTCATTCCACCCTTTGTCCCTCTCTGGCTAGGAGCGGAAGCTGTGTGCCCACCCTCGGCTAGAGATCTATCAGCAAGACCGGATCCATTTCATGTGCCCCCTGGCTCGGCAGGGAGACTTCTATGTGCCTGAGGTGAAGGAGACAGAGCGGAGAAGCCGGGGACTGGTGGAGACCAGTGACACCCCGATGGACGGCACAGGTAGGGAAGGGAAGGGAGTGAGGGTGGGGCTCTGCCTGGAGGCTCCTCCCTATTTGGGTTGGCACCGTGGGGAAGCAGACATGCCTACCCCAGGACCTACACATAAAGCTGCCCGTTCTGACGTGTGGCTCCACATAGATGTGGATTCCCACTCGTTGCCCCCAGCAACTCAGATACACAGATCCTGCACAGATGCCTTTCCGAGGCATCAGGGGTACCCTTGGAAACGGCCCACAGACAGCCGGGTGCCGAGACTGCTCAGGAAAGGAGTTGGGGAGTACGATGGGTATAGATCGGGAAGGTGGAGAGGGGAGCAAGGTGTGGGACCCCACCCAGAGCCAGTGCTTTCTGCCTATGGAAGAGCAAGCAGGGAGCATGCAGGGGGAGCAGCGAGGGCAGTCTCCTGCCCCTTCCCCCAGAGCCAGCCCACCCCCCTGCTGGCAGCCATAATGCCCCAGGTCCAGGCCCACAAGCTGCTTGCATACTCTCAGCCCACCCCCTGCCATGATCTCTTGTGAGCTGGGCTGTCCCTGAGGGCCTAGCACTGGAGGAGCCCATGACTTCCTGGAGTGGTGCAGGACTGTCCCTCGCCTCTGTCTTCTTCAGAAGACAGTCTGCCCATTCAGTCTTCAACAGCCAAGGTCAGCCTAGAGAGACATGTGTTGACAGGGGCCGAGGGGGGCGGGTACTGGGAGACAGTCTCTATTCCCTAGGGCCTATGTCCAACACAGTTAACTTCATCTGCCACTTAATTACCTCCATGGGGTACTGCTCCCTTCTGCCCACAGTGCCCCTACTGTGGGCACAGAACGTAGCACAAGGTCAGCAGGCCCAGGCAACCCCTGGGGCAGGAAGGAGGAGCACCTTGACCTTCCTGCCACCTCCCTCTGCTGCCTGCCTCCCCCCTCCCTGGCCCACCCACCCAGCTTCCTTCCCTCCCAAACACCACCTGCCAGGGGCGTTGAAGGACTGCCTGGCACCCGGTACAGCTGGCTGCAGCCGCAGCTCCCACACCCCCCAGCTCCTCGGCCCATCCTCCTCCCGACCAGCCTGCCCGCTCCTTGGTGTGGGGGCCAACCGGTCTACCCTCTTCTGAGAGGGCCTGGCCCAACACCCAGGGTGGACTCTGGGTATCCACCCACCAGGTGCACACCCCTTTCTTCCACAGCAGCATGTGGTGGGTTTGTGTGAAGGGTGTCTGACCACCCAAGGTTCAGCCTGGCCCTCTCTGCCTCCCGGCTGGGTCGCAGCTTGGGCTGAGAGGTGACAGGGGGTGATTAGCTGCCTCACGCCTGTTATTACATTGATGTATTATTTAGCTCCAGAGAGGCGATGAATATTTGATCTTGCACTGGCTGTGGGCAGAGCAGGAGGGAGGGCCCAGGGTGAAGGTGGTAGCTTCACACCCCCTGCCCCAGCAGCCCTGGGGATTTATGCATCTCCCTGCCTTGCCTGTCCCCTGGGTAGAGACGGGGGACAGGCTCGGGGCCTCCTCCTGTGTGGACCATGGTGGGACTGTAGCAATGGCACTTCCCTGCCTCTGGCTCTTCTGTCAGAGTGTCCATGTGTCCCCAAGGGGCTGTCATCATCCCAGCATGCTGAGCCTTGGCCTGCAGGAGGCTCCTGGACTCCTTCCTCTGATTACTGCTGGCCCAGGAGCTGGGAGGGAGGAAGCAGCCTTCCAGGAAGCAGACAGTCCCAGTCCTGTGGTCTCAGGAGAGCCACTGGGTGGGTGGGTGGATCGAACCCGACAGTTTAATGGGGCTGGGGAGAAGCCGTCCCCTCCCTTTGTGCTGTTCAAGCCTGCACCCTCGGGGTCACTGGTCATCATTCAAGGAGTGAGGAAGGGGCTGGAATGTCATCCCCGGGTCAGAAGGACCTTGCCATGACTGCAAGCTCAGCCCTGCCTCCTCCTGGGACCCCAGTATAAGAAGGGCCCTGGGCCAGCAGCTGGGCACTTCCAGGGCTCCCCTCCCCTCTGCCGATGGGGCCTAGAGGACATCTTCTGGAGGAGCAGACCCCCCCGCCAAACCCCCCACTCCCAACCTAGGCCCCAGCTGAGGCTCAAGGAGAGTTTCAGGCTGAATCCAGAGGCCAAGCAGACCCCAGCTGCGCCTGGCTCGGGGGACAGGAGCCCCCAGGGAAGCCGGCCCAAAACACACACACACATACACACACACACACACACACGGAAGCCGGCCCAACACACACACACACACACACACTCACACTCACACTCACACACACTGTGTTCAAGTTGCTCCTCCCTCACTGAGGATGGGCGCACTGCTCTTGTTGCTCCTGGACAGGGCAGATGAAGCGCTGCTTGCTTAGAGGCCGCCATGGGAGTAAGAGGAGCAGGCTGGGGGTCTGGGCCATCAGCCCAGCTCAGCGCCGTCTGGGGGCTCCTGCCACCAGCAGGTGCTCTCATGGCCCCTCTTTACCAGTGGGAGGTGGGCGGGGTGGTTAAAGATTCCAGGCTAAGCCAGGTAGGGAGAAAGCCCTTAAAATGCTTCAGCACCCTCCTTCCTTGCAGTGGCCAAATGCCTCAGCCTCTTCTCAAATGGGGCTCGAGGGGGGCCAGAGGCAGGGCCAGCTGCCTTCCTTTCCACGAGCGGCTGCTTCTTGGGGTGCTCTGCACGGGGGAGAAGGGCTGGAGAGTGTGTCACCTGGTCCATTTTGCAGTCCTCGTGCTTTGCAGTGTTTTGTAACTGGCCCTGGACAAGCCCCCCCAAGCCTGAAAGGGGTGGAGGGGACACTACTTGGGTCTCTTTGTTCTCCCCTCAGCTCCTCACCTCCGGCTGAGTGGCCCTTAATGGGTGTGGGGGCAGGGCAGCAAGCTTTGTGGGAATGCAGGGAGCTGGGGCTAATTCAGGGAAGGGAGAGGAGTGTGCACAGCCAGCTGCTCTCCTCTCCTTCCCCCATCCCTCGCGCCCCTCTCCCTGGGCCCGATCATTGCTGCCCCAACCAGGCCAGAGGGCAGAGGGCAGAGAGTGGCTGGGAGGAGCCTCCTGAGCTGGGGAGGCTATATTATTCATGAGCAGACTGCGTGTGCTGAGCTGGGGGCAGAGCCCCTGCCTTCTCCCGGGAGAGGTGGGGGTCCTGACTAACCTGTGCTCCCTTTTCCCAGGCACAGGAGCAGACACGATGAGTGACACGAGTTCCGTAAGCCTGGAGGTACGGCCCAGTAGCCGGGAGGCTTCGGCCACCACGCTGTCCCCTGGGGCCAGCAGCCGCGGCTGGGATGACGGTGACACCCGCAGTGAGCACAGCTACAGCGAGTCGGGCACCAGCGGCTCATCCTTCGAGGAGCTGGACCTGGAGGTCGAGGGGCCCTTGGGGGAATCACGGCTCGACCCTGAGGCCAAGCCTGTGGGGGCCACTTCCAGAGCCCAGTACCACTGAGTAGGACTAAGAGTAACCTGTGGCCCGCACCCTCCTGAAGTACAGTTGCCAAGGAACCGAGCAGGCTGTCCAGCCTGGGCTGGGGCTGGGGGTGCCCAGGGGAACTGACTTCCCTGACCCCAGGCTTCTAGCTAAGCCTTCTCCTAACTGCCCTTTTGGTTCCCCGGGGCCAGAGGAGCCTGAGACTATTAGTGGCACCAGCCCTTGGGGCTATTGCCCCTGTTGTATCTTTTTTCAGACTCACATTAGAGCTTCCAGAACCCAGAATAAAGCAGATGTTTTTCTTGTTTCACCTGGATTTGGGTTGTATATTTGTTTGTTAGTTCCACTTTGGGGAGCCCTATGCTGATAAGCCTGGTATTGGCAGGACCCTCTACCCCCTCCCATCCCCCTAGCACAAGGAAAAGAAAGAACATGGCCAGGTACCCTGGGGTCATGGGTAGGGGTATTAGGGGCCCTGCCTGCCCTGCTCTGTGATCCCAGTGGACAGTTGCCCCTGCATTGCACAGGCTACTGCAGAGCAGAGAGAGCAGGACAAGGGGTATGAGCTGAGTGCAGGGTGCCCTCCAGGGCTCAGCAGCAGGGAGCTCCCGCCTTCCTTTGTCTGCTTGCAAAGGATGCCTTTGTGTCTGTGGCTGTGCTCACGCTGGGTCTTCCCCAGCAGGTGGGACATCCCTGCTGTGCCTGTCAGTGCCTGTGTGCCTGTGGTTGTACGCCACAGATGGGCTGCGGGTGGTGGTCCTGGGTGAGTGAGGCCGTGTCCCAGTGAGCATCAGCATGGGAATGTGGCTGGGCATGCATTTGTGTGGACGGCTGTGTTGCTACGTGCCTGTGTTGCTGGCTTTGCGTGTCTGTATCTGACTGCAGGACGTGTGAGGCAGGATAGCTGGGAGAGTCTCTGGGGACTTTGTCCATGTACAACTTTATGTGCATGACTGTTTGCTCCTGCGTAAAGCTACGTGTTTTGCTGTGTGTCTACCTGTACAGCTATGAATGTTGCAGCTGTCTGGCCATGTCCATGGGTACAGCTGTGTGCATGTGGCTGTGTGCTCACAGGCACAGCTGAGTGTGGAAGGGGAGGTACATGTCTGTGTGTGCACAGCTGGCGGTGGTGGCCGCACAGCCGGTGTGTGACTGCACATCCGTGCGCTGCAGTGGGACTGTACGGCTTACCTGCTGCGGGCTGCGTCATGGCCTTCTCGGGCTGGTGCTGTCTGTAGCTATGTTTTTGTAGAAAGCCCTGCGCCTTTTAGAGTGTGGCTGCTCTCGCTGTGCAGCTCCTCTCACCTCAGCACCCTCCCGCTGTCAGCCCCTCTGCTCCAGGGCCAGCCCATTGCTCACCTATCCCAGTGAGCAGTCGTTCTAAGCCAGCCAGAGAGGGTGAGGGCAGCCGGTGGCAGTCAGAACTGGAAGACCGCAGGTCTGTCTCCCCAGCCTCGTCTGACAGCTCTGAACCCTCCTCCCCCGCCACCTCGGCTTCCTGTAACGATTTGGGTTCCTGTTTGTTTGGGTTTGATGCGACTGTTTTGTTTGAAAGCTGTGCCCTTTTCCAGAGCAGTGGGGCATCAGGTTTCTGTGTCCTGGGAAAAACCCTGTGCTCGGTGGCCTTTGCCCCCGACTGTCACACACATGTGGGTGTGTGTGCCTGAGGGCCGGGGCTTGGTGCTTCTGTTAGCCCGTGTCTGAGCCAGCTTTGCTTCCGTTGACACCTGTGGGGAAAAGGGCACCGCCAGGGGGTTGTATGTAGGCTGCTGTGCCCCTTAACCCCTTAGCCCCTTAATTGAGAGTGTGCGCATGTTGGGGGCAGATAGCACAGGTCTGGGGCTGGATCTGGCACAGGCCCTCTCCCCAAATCCTTCAACACAACCTGACACAGTAGCTGACCTACCACCCCCTGCCCAGGGGCGTCCTTCCCCATCCTGCTGTGAGAGGGAAGAGTCAAGAGCATCTTCTCTGAGTTGCCGCCCTCCTGGGCTCGGGCTCTCACTCCCTCCTACACAGCAGTCAGTTCCAGGAACCTCCCCCCCCCACCTCTCCCCTCCCAGATCCCCCCTGCAGGCCTCAGGAGGGCTGACCCGGGCCTCCCCCCACCCTCGTTGATGTCTCTGCCTTAAATGGGCTTTGTATGGGGGAGCAGGGATTAATGCGTGAGTGTGTGTATGGGAGAGCAATTTGAAAGGTCATCTACAGGAAGGAAGCAGCAGCCCCATTCTGTGCTGACCTCCCCCTCCCCCCACTCTTTTACCCCTAGTGACTCAGGCCCCAGCTTTCACGTGGGGCCTGGCCTGTGGAACAAGCTGCAGTCCCTCGGATGGATGTGAGGACAGGGACAGACTTGTGGCAGCAGGCCAAGCACTCCACCTATCTCCCAAATGCCTCTCCACCTATACCCCAGTGGCACCCCTTGATGCTAGTCAGCTCCTCCGTGCTCGCAGATGGGCGTCTGCCGCACTGTGCGCACCTTTTGGGGCTTCCTAACCCTGTGCCCCATGCCCTGTTCTGGCCACCCTCTTGGACGCAGTCCGACTGCAGGGTGGAGGGGGCGGTGAGGCACCTGCTCCAGCACTGAGCGGGAGCGCCCGGGGATTCAGCACCACGCGGCGGACAGCTCCAGGCTCGGTGGACCCGCGAAGAGCCGGAGCTGTGGGAGGCGCAGGGTGAGGAGCTGGGGGGTGGGGGGGTGGGGCAGGGCGGAGAGGTGGGGGCCGGGCTGGGAGCGGGAGACCCGGAGTTGGGAGGAAAGGAGGAGGGACTGGGGGCGGGCCGGGGGCGGGGGTGGGGCGGGCCGCGATTGAAAGCTGCGGGGCGGGCGGGCGGAGCGCGCAGAGCCAGCGAGCAAGCGAGCAAGCTGGAGCTGGATCCCCGCGTCCCCTGCTCACTCCGATTCTCTCCGCGCCAGAGCCGGGCGCACCAGGTAGGGTGAGCCCGTGGTGCCGCGGCTGCTGCCTACCTTTTCAGCCCTGACCCCACGTCCCCGCGAGCCTTTGAGTTCTGGGTGCCCCAGCCGGGGCGCGCAGACGGCTCTTGGTCCCCGGGAGCTCCGGGAAGCGGGAAGACAGCCCCCCGTGTCCCGCCTTTCTTCCCCCCGAAAACGCACGTCTTGTATCGCGCTGCCCGGTTCCTCCTGCTCCGGCGTCCTCCGGTCCTTCTTTCTGTCTGTGCCTCTTTGTCTCAGGCTCTCGGGATCGCTTGGTCCCTGCCCAGATTTTGTGGCCCAGGCCCCCAGCTGCGGGGGACTCCAAGGTTCTGTCCCTTGCCCTGCCCTGAGCTTGGGGTCCTGGCCTTCTCTAACCAGCGCTGGCTCCAGCCTCCATCTGGGTCCCTGTCCCCATCCGCGGGGGGCTTCACCCCTGCTTCTCTCTCCTGTTTGCTTCATTGAGCTGCTGCTTTCTGGGTCCACACCTGAGCATGGTACCATAGTGGGGTCGGTCCTGCGGAGCGAAGAGGGCAAACTGGGGGCCCTGGTCTCTGCGGCCAGGACACAGGACCCTTGAACTTGCGGCTGCCCTTTGTCAGCCTCAGTTTCCTTTCCTGTTCTGAGGAAAGACGCTTGTCCCCCTCCCAGCCCTGCCAAGCCTGGTGATTTTAAGAGCCTCTGTGGGGTAGGTATGTGGGAACGCAACTGGGATGCACAGGAGAGGATGCAGGGTGGATGAGGCAGGTGGCAAAAGGACTCCTACAGGCCAGGGCCAGCGCGGTCCGGGCCCCAAGGCCGAGCACGGGCAGATTGGGAATGGTGTCTTTCCCCACCGGGTTTGGAGTGAAGGAAGCTCCGAGACCCCACGTCTCCAACAGCATCCCGCACAGCCGCTCAGCCTCGGCACTGTTTGGAGAGTCTGACACGACAGATAGCCCTGCCGCTGGCATACACGTTCATGTCTACCTGCCTTGCTGGCCCAGCACCTGTGGCCACTTGGTGCCCTCCCGCTGCCAGCCTCTCCACCTTGCTGTCTTGCTCCCGGGGGCTGGAGTCCCTGTCCCTTCCTCAGTCAGGAGACAAGCCAGAGGCTGGAACACTAAGAGAGTTTCCCCGGGCTCCAGTTTCCCCAGAGGTGGGAGAATGTACCTTAGAGCCAAGTGCCGTCCCTCTGCCTGTGGGCCCTCAGAGAGCAGCCCTTACCCCTTGGAAATCTGAGGCTCAGGATGGGGACTGGATACCCCCGCCCACCCCAGTTGGTGGCTCTGATGTGGCCTCTGCTGCAACGGCTTTGACCTCCAGGTCCTGAGTGTTTTATATGAGGCCTTGGTTAGCTTGTGATTTGCAGAAAGCTTGGCGCTGGCTGTGTCTTCGATCCTTTGCCGGGGCCACTGCCCCCCTGGCTGCCTCCCAGGGCCCGTTTGCAGCCCAGATGAGGACTGGGAGGCAGGTTCGGGGGCATCCCAGGAGCTTCTCAGCCTGGTGTAGCGACACCACCCTTCCCTGGTGACCTGGGTGAAGGGTGGGAAGTGGCAGAGTCAGAAAGGGCAGTCACTCTCAGGTCCCTCTTCTCCTGTTTGTCTGTCTATCTCTCTGCAGGAGCTGGGTCCCTTCTTCCTCTCTTCCTGTCTGTCCTTCCTGGCCCCTGTTTCCTCCTCTCGTTGCCTTTGCTGCTTCTGCCCTCCTCCCCTGGAGACCCAGGTCTGCTGGACCCATCCATCCCCTCTGGGGCCATGGGATCGCTGCTTGGGCTCCTGGCACTGCTGCTGCTATGGGGTGCTGTGGCTGAGGGTCCCGCCAAGAAGGTGCTGACCCTGGAGGGGGACCTGGTGCTGGGCGGGTTGTTCCCAGTGCACCAGAAGGGTGGCCCGGCGGAGGACTGTGGCCCTGTCAATGAGCACCGTGGCATCCAGCGCCTTGAGGCCATGCTTTTCGCACTGGACCGCATCAACCATGACCCCCACCTGCTCCCTGGTGTGAAACTGGGTGCGCACATCCTCGACAGCTGCTCCAAGGACACACACGCCCTGGAGCAGGCGCTGGACTTCGTGCGTGCCTCACTCAGCCGCGGGGCCGACGGCTCCCGCCACATCTGTCCCGACGGCTCTTACGCCACCCATGGTGACGCTCCTACTGCCATCACTGGTGTCATTGGCGGCTCCTACAGCGATGTATCCATCCAGGTATGCACCCAAATGGGGTAGGGAGGGAGGCCAGAGGGTGACCCGGAATTCCCATGGGGCAGGGGCTCCCAGACTCCCACGCATTGGAAAAGAGACTAGAAACTTCCCTTCAGTGGCTTTTTACAGACTACGAAAGTGCCCCTGCCATATAACAAGGGTTGTGTTTCAGAGATTGTGCAGAACCACACACGTGCACACACTCACACCCCTGATATTGAACAAACTTCAGAGGCTCTGGAGCCAGAGCCCCAGGTGTGAATCCTGGCTCCCCTACTTGCTGGCCGCATGGCCCTGGACAGATTGCTTCTCTTCTCTCTGTCTCTGTCTCCCTGTCCTAAAATGGGACTTGGGGCACTTTGTACTTTTAGGTTGGTGATGGAAATGAGTAGAGTGGTGTCTATCAGAGGTCCTGGATGTCACAAGGGCACAAGAGGCCCAGCTGCTGTTATCATTAACTCGTTTCATAAATGGGGAGACCGGGGATCAAAGAGGGAGATGAGAAATCAGGGCTGTTAGCCAGGGGTCTCCTAATTTGTCAGATCACTTCTCCCTGGGTGGGACAGAAGAGAACGGGGAGAAAGAAGCCAGCAGTGGGCCAGGGAAGAGCAACAGGGTGGGGGAGCCAGGAAGATGAGAAACAGAGTGTGTGTGTGTGTGTGTGTGTGTGTGTTGGCGGGGGTAACAGGTACTGGGTGGAGGGCGCAGGATTTGAGCGAGTGAGAAGGTAAGGAAGCCTGGCCCCCATCTCCTGCTCTCCCACAAGGTCTCAGCGCAGAGGGCCCTGTTGCTCAGCTTCAGCACATGGTGTCTGTTCAGCTGATGTCCCTTTGTTGCCCCCTGGGCGCACCTGGCTGCTTTGGTCCGGGTTCTCACCTGTCCTCCATATCCCCAGCTGCTGGGTGCCCAGAACAGGAAGATGAGGCCAGAACTGGGATCAGGGCTGGGAGACAGGGCAGGGCCCTTTGCTGGGCCTCAGCTTGTTTTAGGAGGCTGGCTGAGGCTACTGCCACCAGGGGAGGGTGCAGGACCCCTGACCTGCGATGCTTGTGCAGAAGAAATGAGGCAGAAACAGGAATCTGAACCATGAGGTCAGCCTCTGGCCTAGGATTGGGGAAGCCTGGCCACTGCCCCTGCTGTTGGGACTGGATCATCCGTCCCACTAGACTGATTCCTAGAGTGGCTAGGTGGCAGCTTCGACAGGTGTGACTGTGCCAGCATCCACGTCTGCAGTCCTGGCTGGGGACAGGTGGGCAGCCTCCTACTGTCCGACGTCCACAGGGGTCTGCACAACTCTCCAGGGATTTGTCTCCAGGAACCCATTTAGCTCCTGCCCACCCCTGGTCCTCAGCATCAGCCTGCTTTTCCTTGTCCTGGTGAGCACCAGCAGGTCTTCATCCTTAGGGGCCTATCTCACTGACCCCGCCTCACTCCTGCCCTCTCTCTGGCTCACATCCCTGTCATCTTCCAGACGCGAGCACGGCGGCCTCCCATACACCGTCATTTTTATTCCCTTAGCAGCTTCACAAGGCCGAGACAAGAAACTGGTCAGGGACCGGAGGATGGGAGACAGGGTGCCAGGCAGTCAGTTCCGGAACAGGGAGCCTTGTTTATTTCAGCCTCGGGCATCCAGTGGAGATGAGGTCTTGGGTCTTCCAGGGTAGTGGGAATCTCCTGTGGGTTGGATGGAGGTTTTTCCTGCTTTCTCCATCTTCCGATCAGAGTTGACTCCCCAGACAAATAGAGAGCTTGGGTGCCCTGAGCGTCTCAAATGCCACCCGGTGGCTCCCTGTGCTCCTGCTACAGCCAGGTGGCAGCCTCTCTGCAGCCCAGTCTTCCCATAGCTCGCTGCCCTGGGCCTCAAGAATGGTAGCAGAGGGATTCAGATGTGGCTGAGAACCCGAGTGCCTGGGCCCTGCGTCTTCTCCTTCCTGGCCTTCCAGAAGAGTCCTTCATCCCCTGGGGAGAGCCTCATCAATCAGGACGCAGGCCTGCTGAGCAACCGAAGCCTCAGGGCTGACCTTGTGGATACTCCACCCCAAGGGCTGCTAGATGCATCTGCCTCTGCTGTCTGACCTGGCCTCTGACCGCTGCCCTTCCTGCCCCTCCCCCAGGTGGCCAACCTCCTGCGGCTCTTTCAGATCCCACAGATCAGCTACGCCTCCACCAGCGCCAAGCTGAGCGACAAATCCCGCTACGACTACTTTGCCCGCACAGTGCCCCCTGACTTCTTCCAAGCCAAGGCCATGGCTGAGATTCTCCGCTTCTTCAACTGGACCTATGTGTCCACTGTGGCGTCCGAGGGCGACTATGGCGAGACAGGCATCGAGGCCTTTGAGCTGGAGGCCCGCGCCCGCAACATCTGCGTGGCCACCTCAGAGAAGGTGGGCCGTGCCATGAGCCGGGCCGCCTTCGAGGGCGTGGTGCGGGCCCTGCTGCAGAAGCCCAGTGCCCGCGTGGCCGTCCTGTTCACCCGGTCCGAGGACGCCCGGGAGCTGCTCGCTGCCACCCAGCGCCTCAATGCCAGCTTCACCTGGGTGGCCAGCGATGGCTGGGGGGCACTGGAGAGTGTCGTGGCGGGCAGTGAGGGGGCTGCCGAGGGCGCCATCACCATTGAGCTGGCCTCCTACCCCATCAGTGACTTTGCCTCCTACTTCCGCAGCCTGGACCCCTGGAACAACAGCCGGAACCCCTGGTTCCGGGAGTTCTGGGAGCAGAGGTTCCGCTGTAGCTTCCGGCAGCGAGACTGTGCAGCCCACTCTCTGCGGGCCGTGCCCTTTGAGCAGGAGTCCAAGATCATGTTTGTGGTCAACGCCGTGTACGCCATGGCCCATGCACTGCACAACATGCATCGCACCCTCTGCCCTAACACCACCCGCCTCTGTGACGCCATGCGGCCAGTCAACGGGCGGCGCCTCTACAAGGACTTCGTGCTCAACGTCAAGTTTGACGGTAATAGTGCTGGCCAGTGGCCATCGGATGATGGGGAGCAGGACTTAAGAAAACATAACATAGTGCAAGTGGAGGACCCGGCCAGCCAGCAGGGCAGAGAGGACTCCCACTGGAGCCGGGGCTGAGCAGTGAGCAGACCTCTGCTCCTTTGAGGGTCTCTGGGCCCAGCCTGGGCCTTGCCTGTCTTGCCGGAGGTAGAGACCAGGGGACCCCAAGCCCATTCAGGGCAGCAAGAGTCACATTTGTGCTTGAGGGTAAGCGTCAGGACAGCCTTTCACAGGCAGACGCAATGTCTACTCCTAACCCCGAGTCCACCCCAGGTCCGGGGCTCCTCACAGTACAAGGGCCAGCTTGCAGGAAAGCAAGCGCCTCGGGGTCGTCACCACACTCCGGCCATGAGAGGGGGCCGCGGCCGACAGGGCTTGTAAGCACCAGCCCAGGGTTAACACGAGCAATGCGGTTTGTCCCTCGGTGTCTGTTGGGGATTGGTCCCAGGACCCCCGAGGATACCAAAATCCATGGATGCCCAAATCCCTTGCAGCCAATGGCGTGGTCCTGGTATATGAGCTACACTCATCCTCCCTTATACTTGAAATCATTTCCAGATGAATACCTCAAACCGTATAAATGCTAAATAAGCTGTTAGAGAATAATAAGAGAGGAAAAAAAGCCCAAGCACATTCAGTACATGCAACCATCGTAGTTCTTACGGAAGTTCTCAAAGTCTCACCTCTCTGGTGGGTTGTGTCCTTGGCTTTGGGGCCTGCAGCTGCAGAGGGCTGACTCATCGTGATCAGACTGGCATTCCACAGTTACCTCTGGAGTCAGGGGTTAGGGCCGGAGTTTGGGATCTGACTGAGCTGACATTGGAGCAAAGCTAAGTACCTCTGGAGTCAGGGGTTAGGGCCGGAGTTTGGGATCTGACTGAGCTGACGTTGGAGCAAAGCTAAATTCCATCTGCTGGCTTGGGTGGAACTGACAGCAGGGCTGGAGGTGGATTTTGAGAACTCTGAGGCTGAGTTGGAAAACGTAGGGCCTTGAGCAGGGAGGACTTGAGTTTGATTTCAGGCTGTCCCACTCACCATGGGGCCAAAGGCCTGTCATCCGCCCGCTCGAGCCCTGATTTCTCCCTGGGACCTGGGATGGTGGTGGGGGACTGCCGTGAGGCTTCGCCAGGATGGACAGTAGCACTTTCTGAAGAATAGCCGTGACTACAGGTGGCCCTGGGCGTCGGGACTTGGTCTGCACTGGGATTAGGGTGGAGATCGGTGGGGCTGGAGCTGGGAGGTGGTTGCTGGTAAGGCTGGACCCAAGGTGGGCTTCACTTTGGGGTCTCTGCATTAAGTCTGGTGGGAGAGCTGCAGGGTCTGTCATGATAAAGTTAGCATTTGGGGCCTGGATGGCACAGTGTTGGAGATGGGGCCCAGGCTGGGTTTGGTGAGCCATGGCTGGGGACTGGTGCAGGGACTCGGTGTGTGGGGATGCCTGGCCTTGAAGACTGGAGTTACGTTTGGGGTTCAAGGGTGGCGAGGGTTGGGGTTTGGTGTTTGAGCTTGGGGACAGGATTTGTTGGACCTTCTCATTCAGAAAAATGGCTGAAGCCAGGACTGGCTTTAGCGTTGGGATGAGGACCGGAAAGGCTGGAGGGGGCCTGGTCTCTGGGGCGTGGGTTCTGTGTTAGGGTGAGGGTTGAGGTCGCCTCTGAGTAGCCCCCCATCCAACACTCTCTTCCTTCTCTGCCCCCTCCCAGCTCCCTTCCGCCCGGCTGACACTCACAATGAGGTCCGCTTCGACCGCTTTGGTGACGGCATTGGGCGCTACAACATCTTCACCTATCTCCGGGCAGGCAGTGGGCGCTACCGCTACCAGAAGGTGGGCTACTGGGCAGAAGGCCTCACCTTGGACACCAGCCTCATCCCCTGGGCCTCCCCCTCCGCTGGGCCCCTGCCCGCCTCTCGCTGCAGCGAGCCCTGCCTGCAGAACGAGGTGAAGAGCGTGCAGCCCGGCGAGGTCTGCTGCTGGCTCTGCATCCCGTGCCAGCCCTACGAGTACCGGCTGGATGAGTTCACCTGCGCCGACTGTGGCCTGGGCTACTGGCCCAACGCCAGCCTCACCGGCTGCTTCGAGCTGCCCCAGGAGTACATCCGCTGGGGCGATGCCTGGGCCGTGGGACCTGTCACCATTGCCTGCCTGGGTGCCCTGGCCACGCTGTTTGTGCTGGGTGTCTTTGTGCGGCACAACGCCACGCCGGTGGTCAAGGCCTCGGGCCGGGAGCTCTGCTACATCCTGCTGGGTGGCGTCTTCCTCTGCTACTGCATGACCTTCATCTTCATCGCCAAGCCCTCCACGGCGGTGTGCACCTTACGGCGCCTCGGCTTGGGCACCGCCTTCTCTGTGTGCTACTCAGCCCTGCTCACCAAGACCAACCGCATTGCGCGCATCTTCGGGGGGGCCCGGGAGGGTGCCCAGCGGCCACGCTTCATCAGTCCCGCCTCGCAGGTGGCCATCTGCCTGGCGCTCATCTCGGGCCAGCTGCTCATCGTGGCCGCCTGGCTGGTGGTGGAGGCACCGGGCACGGGCAAGGAGACAGCCCCTGAACGGCGGGAGGTGGTGACGCTGCGCTGCAACCACCGTGACGCCAGCATGCTGGGATCCCTGGCCTACAACGTGCTGCTCATCGCGCTCTGCACGCTCTACGCCTTCAAGACGCGCAAGTGCCCCGAGAACTTCAACGAGGCCAAGTTCATTGGCTTTACCATGTACACCACCTGCATCATCTGGCTGGCATTCCTGCCCATCTTCTACGTCACCTCCAGCGACTACCGAGTGAGCCACCTGCCACAGGAGTGGGAGGGCCGGGACGGTGGGGACTCAGGTTCCTGGTATCTCGTTTAACCTACCGATAACTGTGAGGGCCCCCCTGGGGAGCGGTGGGGCTGAATGGGACCAGGCAGGAATGCCGGGGAGATGAGGAAGCAGGGTTAGAGTGGAGAAGAGATTTCCCAACCTAGATGTCATCACCTAGCCTGGGAGATGGGGGTGCAGAAATACGTCCCAAGGATCAGAGGCTCTGCCCTGCTCCACTGAAGGGCTGGCAGAGGAGGGGTTAAGAGATGCAACTGAGGAGGTAGCAATGGTGTAATGAAGAAGGGTGGGAGAGGAGATTGAGGAGCTGAGGCTGAGAGAGGGTAAAGCAGGCAAGACTGCATCCCAGCTGCTGGCTCCCAAGCAAATTTGGTTCCAGCTGGCACTTACTGTGCCCCTGGGTCTCCCCGCAGCTGCGAAGGGCAACGCCCACTGGGACAGGAGGGTCAGGGAAGGGCTCTCCGAGCAGACGACAGGTGGGCTGAGCACCACATGGTAAGAGGGCGCCCTTGGCTAATCCTCATGACTCCAAGTCAGTGCCACAGCGCTCCTGTTTTACACACCAGGAAACACTCAGGACGTTCAATCACTTGGCCAAGGTCACTCGGCTGGAGAATGCAGAGCAGGGTCTGAACTGATGATCTCGACCATGAAAGGGACAGGAAAATTGAGGGAAAAACCTCAGCAGTGGCCCTTTCTCCAGCATGGAGCAGAGAGGCGGTGACACTGCTGGGGGCCACAGACCACTGGGCTGGCTGCTCTGCTTGCACCTGCTGGGCCACCTGCTTGGGTGCTGGAGGCCAGGATGGGGGAGGGAACCGGCTCTGACTCAGCTTGCATTTGCACATGATTTACATTTGCATGCCAATCATAAGTGGCTAAGGACTCACCCAAGACATGCACATATATACACACAGTGCCCAGCGATACATGTGCACACACACGCTGGTGCACAAGCACACACATAGCATCGCTCATGCAGACACACACATGTGCACACATGCTTCCCTGTCTATACATGCACCCATACCAGGCAGCCCACACTCACACCACACAATTACACTTGCACACCACACTCCTGTACACACTCACCACTTCATACCCACACCCACACAGAGACACAGGCGCCCCCATGCATGCACTCCATACCGTGTCCCCCATACACATGTGTACTCTCCAGGTGTACAGGCTCCCCTGTGTGTTCACCCCCACAGCTGGAACTCTGCTCTCCCTGGGAAAACAGTGCAGGCCGACACTGGGACTGGGCCCCACCTTCCTAGAAATCCTCCATGGGGCTTGGCAAGTGGACCCCAAACCCGGTAATGGACTCTTTACAGGCTCCCCGACACCCTCCCTGACAGCCCAGACAGGGGACTCCTTAGACCAGGCCCAGGCCTTTGGGGCAGGCTCTTGCGTGACCTGCGCCTGCTTACCCACTGGGCCACTGCAGGTGCAGACCACCACCATGTGCGTGTCGGTTAGCCTCAGCGGCTCCGTGGTGCTCGGCTGCCTCTTCGCACCCAAGCTGCACATCATCCTCTTCCAGCCGCAGAAGAACGTGGTCAGCCACCGGGCGCCCACCAGCCGCTTCGGCAGTGCTGCCGCCAGGGCCAGCGCCGGCCTCGGCCAAGGTCAACACCCTAAGCAGCCCTCTCCACCTGCACCCCCGCCGCCCACCTAGCTCCTCAGGCTGGCTGAGATCCCTCTGTGTGTGGGGGGGGGGGGGGGACAGACGGCCCCGGCCAGCCAGGGAGGGGCTGCTTTCCCTGTTGCCTGCCTGCTCCCTCTGGCGACCTCAGGGTCATCCCCCACATCGGGCTTCCTTTCCCCAGGGTCTGGCTCCCAGTTTGTCCCCACCGTTTGCAACGGCCGCGAGGTGGTAGACTCGACGACATCGTCGCTCTGAAGACCCCCGTAGTGCTGCCCTGACACAGCTGCTCCGGAACCCAGCGTAGATCTGCGTCCAGGGCCAGGAGGAAGTTGGCTGGAGCACTGCAATAATGCCCACCCCATGCCCGCCCCCAGAGTCACTGCCTCCTGCTTGCCCCAACCCTTCGGAGTCCGAAGTCGGGGTCCTTGGCCTGGGAGCCCCTGCAGCGGTCACAGGTGCCCTTGCAGCCGTTCCCCTCCCTGCCCTGTCCAGGGCTCCCAGGGGAGCGAGCCAGGGTGCACTGCCCCAGAACGGGCTGGCTGAGGACGGCAGGCCCCAGCCCCCAGTCAGCAAAGGTGCTTCCAGCCCATCCTTCCCCTAGGGCCTTTTTAATTTTTTATATAAGTTACTCTGGGGTGGGGAGGGTGGTAGTCGTGCGGGCCATTCCTCCCCCGGCACAGTAGCTTGTCCTGTGGTTTATTTTGTATTATCTGTAAATAAAGTCTTTATTTAAAAAAAAAAAAATCACTCTTTGCCCTTGACCCAGGGGGCCCCTCGCAGCCGCCACGACCTCCCAATCTTCCTTCCTCTAGGATCTGTTGGCTCTGCTCTGTGCCTGACGATAGAACCGATAGGACCGGGAGGTGGAGAGGAACAAACCGCCCAGGGCTGTCCGGGGCTGAGGTATCAGCAGACAGGCTCAGCTGCCTGGCCCTGCAAGGGTTTCCCCGAGGCTGTCCTTGGGGACTGGGGACAGCGTGGGCGTTGATGGGACAGGAGGGAGGGGGCAGCAGACTGTGGCCCCAAGGAGCGGCCAGCCTGCCTGCCTGCCTGCCACTGGAGGAGCTGCTGGTCCGTGAGCAGCCAGGCTGCGCGTTTGGTGCAGAGGGAACCAAGGGACGGATTGAGGCCGAACGCTGCCTGTTCACAGGGCACGGACAAGCCTGGGGGTAGGGGTGGGAGCAGCAGGGAGCTGGAAGCCTGCAGGAAATCTGGGGCGGGGCGCCCAGCGCCCTTGGGGGCTTTATCATTTGAGCTGCACCAGCAGAGGGCGCCAAGGCACAGCCTCGTCCTCACGGTCTGGTGGCAACGGCTGCCCTCGTGTGGCGTAGAGGGCGGTAGGCGCCCGACCAAAGAACCTAGGGGTTTAGGGGGCCCAGGTAGCTCAGAGAGGCGTGGTCCTGCGTCAGCGGGGGGACAGATCAGGGACATTTGTTATTTTCAGGTGAACTCGTTTGCATGCACAGACTGGCAAGGCTCTGGAAAATCAGGTTAACAATTTAAAAAGTGGCAAAAAAAAAGAAAAAAGAAAAAAGAAAAAACAAAAGGATGGGAGTAGCTTTTCCTCCTCCAGCCAACATCTGGGATGTGAGGATGACCGAGAAAATCTAGAAGGCCTGATAGGATTTGAATGTCATCAACCATGAATGCTGTCCCACACAACATTTGGGATAGACTGACACTAAAATGTCGTATTCTGCTGACATGCAGACTTTTGTCCGCTGACTGCGGCGGCCCCATCGCCATGGTCTCTGTTCCAGCTGCCTGGCCCTGAATAGCACAGGTCTGGATGCAGTTCCTGGTGACCAGGTGCAGGGCGTGGTAGCCCAGGGGCCAGCGCTGAGGTCTTTTCTCGCTCTTCCTTGGCCACCTTTGGCTACTTGAGTCCCCAGTCCCTGATCAAGGCCAGATGGGGCTCTGATCCCTTGCCCCTAAAAAGCAACACTCTGCATTCCTTAAAGTGGTGGTGACCTTGGCTCACAGCTAAGAAGGTACCGGGGTGCTCCGGGAAGGGGCTCCTTTGCTCCCTGGCCCACATCTCCAGGGACCAGCCAGGGCTCTGGGGCAGGAGGTGGGTGAGGAGGCCCTCAGCACCTCGCACCTGCCCACCTCGCCCGCCCTTGCAGAGCAAGCTGTCCTCCTTGCTCCCTGTCCCGAGCGCTTGGCAGCCCCACCCCTGCATGCACAGTGCCCATCCCGTGTTATGTGGGCAGCCCCTCACGGCGCTGTGGGCCCTGGCTCCTCAACTTCCAGTCCTCCCCACTGCCGCAGAGACCCAGCTCCCCCGCTCCCCAACCCGAGTGCCCCTCCTGGTCCTGGGGGCCTGGCTTGTGCTCCCACCCCTACCCCCCAGCACCACCATCTGGGTCTCAGGAAGACATAACAGGTCTGCCTGGGACAGGGATGGGGGCACGGAGACCCCCACTCTGTCTGTTATGTTAGAGAGCTGTGCCCCTTCTGGAGCCAGGACTGGAGACGCCCAGGATCTGGTCAGGTCCTCCTGGTGACCCCACTGGCCCTGACTGGAATGGCCAAGTTGCTTTGCTCGAGCAGCCAACGTTTACACGGAGGCCCGGGTCTTTCTCCGTGGCATTGCTCAAGGACCTGCTCAGCCCCCCTCCCATCCTGTCCCCTGTCCCTCTGAAAACTGAAGAGTGGTCCCTAGCCTGCCAGGGCTGAGGGGGGGTGGGCTGGCTCTCCTGTACTCAACCGTGGGTCCCAGTGGCCTGGGGGAAGGTGGTTCCAGCTGTTCTGTTCCCTGCCCCCCAGTCCAGGGAGGTGGGCACAGGCTTGTCACCAAGGCAACATGCAAGCCCTGTCCAGGAGCGCCCCCTTGAGACAGGACATCCGAGTCCAAGAGGAAGCTGCTGATGTGCTGCGTGGAGGGGTGGGGGACAAGAGGTAGGCATGACCTGGAGCCGGGAGCAAGAGACCCACGCTCGCCATCCGGGAGTCCTGGGAGGGGGCCTCCCCAGAGCCACCCTCCTGCTATTGCCCACCCCACCTGCTGTGCCTGGCGGGAGGGGGGAAGGGGGCAAGGGGGCGTTCCTCAGAGTCTCAGAACCCCAGAGTCTGCAAAGGCCCCCACCCCAGGTTTTGGCAGGAAAACGAAAGAAACCCGGCGCCGCTCCTCCCGTGGGCCAGAGGGGTTAAGAGATGGGGCGTCCTGGGGGCTCCCGGGGAGAGGGAGGAAGGTGGTGGGGAGGAGAGAGACCTGCAGGCTTCAGCCCCCGAGGCCTCTCGCCAAGATGCCAGCTTTTTTACAATAGAAAAATGGCTTTATTCTTCTGTGCAGACAGTGCCCGCTCCCTCTAACCAGCGTCAGCATTGCCAAAAAGCACAGAAAGAAAATACAAGTATCACCTCCAGCCTCGTGGTTCACAAAGAACCGTCGTCAGCATTCCTGGTGCAGCACGCGAGGCAGATTTCCCTGCAGTCTTACAGAGAGGGGAGATGGAAATGATTTCATCAAAATGGGATCATCCCATATGTCTGGCTTCTTTTTTAGTGAAGGTTTAATTTTACTTGACTCTAATTGAAGAAAATGAATGTGAAGTAAAACTGAATAAATTCCTCAGCCTCGCAGTCGCTTCACCGCAGAAGGTATTCTCTCTCTAGAGCGCTCCCTACGCTGAGGATGAGAGACAGACCGACCCTGAGAGGCAGGCGTTCCTGCCCTCCCAGGGCGGCTGAGCAGAGTTGACCAGTTGTCCATCTTCTTGCAGCCCCAGTGGGAGGGCTCATTGCCTAGGGAAAGCGGGTGGTTGAGGTTTGGGTGCTGAATGGCCCCCAAAGGCCCCATGTGTTTAAAGTTTGGTCCCCAGGGTCTTATGTGAATGGCACAAGGAGGGGGAAATGCAGTCCCATGCTGGTGTCTGAAGGTGTGGCCTTTGGGAAAGGGTTGGACTGGGTCACTAGGGTGCAGCCCCCGTGGTAAGTGCTGGTGGCTGGTGAGCAGACCCACGCACACACGCTCCCGCCCGCCGTGTGATGCTCTGGCCCAGCTCAGGGCTCCACCAGCAGGGACACCAGCACCAGGTGCCGGACCAGTGGGGCCGCCCAGTCCTGGCCTGCGAATTTCCCAAACCGTGAGTGAACATTAACCTCTTCCTTGCCTCAGGTAGGAACAAAAAGCTGGCCGAGGACCCGTGATCCGGGCCAGTGGCTGTGGACACTGCACCCGGCCCTGGAACTGTGGACCGTGCGCCCTGTCATTTAGGCACTGCAGCCACACACAGACAGGGCGGTCCGCACGCCCTGGAGGAAGGGCCCTTGCTGCGACCTACTGTGTTCACTTAGCACCTGAATCTTTTCTGGAAATTGTATAGTTTTTACTTTTACATTTGGGTGTGCAATGAGATGGGGTCACTATTAATTTTCACTCAGATGGCTACTATTCAGATTTCCAGCACCCTTTGTTAAAAGTCTCTCTTTTTCCACAACTGAATTTTATTGGCTTCCTTGCATTATCAATTAACCATCAATCAGTGGTTCTGTTTCTGGATTCTGTTACATCTTACTGCGACTTATTTATCCTGAAAGGCATCACACTGGGTTAACTACACTGAAGCTTTTGAGTAAATCTTTTTCTAAAAAATTTTATTTATTTATTTAAGAGGTAGAGTTAGGGGGAGAGAGGGAGAGAGAGAGAGAGGTCTGCCATCTGCTGGTTTCTGGATTCTGTTACGTCTTACTGAGCGACTTGTTTATCCTGAAAGGTGTCACACTGGGGTAACTATGCTGCAGCTTTTGAGTAAATTTTTTTTTTTTTGAGAGAGAGAGAGAGAGAGAGAGGTCTCTCATCTGCTGGTTCACCCCCCAAATGACCGCAATGGCCAGAGCTGGGCCAGTCTGAAGCCAGAAGCTAGGAGATTGTTCCTCGTCTCCCACGTGAGTGCAAGGTCCCAAGCACTTGGGCCATCTTCTGCTGCTTTCCCACGTGCCTTAGCAGGGAGCTGGATTGGAAAAGGAGCAGCCAGGACACAAACCTGTGCCCATTTGGGATGCCGGTGCCACAGGCAGAGGTGTAGCCGACTATGCCACAGCACCGGCCCTTGAGTAAATCTGGAGATTGGGGAGGAAGTCCTCCAATTTTATGGGGTTTTTTTAATGATTGTTTTTGTTGTTCTAGTTTCAATATTTCAAATATGTAGTCAATGTATTTCAAAATTTTAGAATCACCCTTTCAAGTTTTACTTAAAACATCTGTAGAAATTTTGAGACTGCATTGAAGTCAACTTGTGAAAAACTGTGATCTTAACAATATTGTCATTTAATTCATGAATTTGGTATATGTTTCCAGTTCAGTCTTTCTCATTTCTTTCAGCAATGTTTGTAGTTTTTAGTGTAGAAGTTTTTTGTTTGTTTGTTTGTTGGACAGTGAGAGAAAGAGACAGAGAGAAAGGTCTTCCTTTGCCGTTGGTTCACCCTCCAATGGCCGCCACGGCCGGCATGCTGCGGTCAGCGCACCACGCTGATCCAAAGGCAGGAGCCAGGTGCTTCACCTGGTCTCCCATGGGGTGCAGGGCCCAAGCACTTGGGCCATCCTCCACTGCCCTCCCTGGCCACAGCAGAGAGCTGGCCTGGAAGAAGGGCAACTGGGACAGAACCCAGTGCCCTGACCGGGACTAGAACCCGGTGTGCCGGCGCCGCAAGGCAGAGGATTAGCCTAGTGAGCCACGGCGCCAACTGTGTAGGAGTCTTACAGTTAAGTTAGTTGTTCCTATTCCTAGGCATTCTTTTTTTTTGATGCTATAATAGGGAATGATTTTTTTAAATTCTTTTTTATTTTTAGTCTTCTATTTGAAAGCAGAATGACAGAGAAAGACAGACAAAGAGAGATCTTCCAATTGCTGGTTCACTCTCCAAATGCCTGCAACAGCCAGAGCTGGGCCAGACAGAAGTCAGGAACCCAGGACTCAACCTAGGTCTCCCATGTGGGCGACAGGGACCCAACCACTTGTGCATTATCTGTTGCCTCCCAGGGTCTCCATTAACAAGAAGGTAGAATGGGAAGCAGAGCGCAGACTCCAAGCCAGGCTCTCGGCTGTGGGATGTGGCACCCAGCTGGCAGCTACACTGCTGTTCCATAATGTTCACCTCTGGGAAGTTACTCTGTAAAATATTTCATTTTCTAGCATGTTGTTAGCATATACAAATTTAATTGGAGCAAGATATTTGACTTAGTGCTTAAGGCGCCGGAGTTCCATGTCAGAGTACCTGGTTTCAAGCCTCAGCTTTGCTCCCGATTCTGGCTTCCTGCTCAAACACACCCTTGGAGGCTCAAGTGGCTGGGCCCTGTCACCCACATGGGAGACCTGGGTTGCGTTCCTGGCCCTGAGCTTCAGCTTAGCCCAGCCCCAGCCTTTGAAGGTATTTGTGGAGTGAACCAGTGAACAGTGAATGAGAGGTCCCCCCCCCCCCTTTCTCTGTCAAGGAAAAAAATATATGGAATTGAGTTTTGAAGTTGTGGGACATTGCACATGACCATTTTTTATCCCCTCACCATAGCTCCGTGTGTGTGTGTGGTGAGATCTCAACACTTGGTCAAGGCTGCAACACACCATTACTCACCAGCGCTTATTCTGTCCCACGGCACCTGCGTTCCTCGGCCCACACCTCGCCACTTCCGCCCTCCGTTACCTGGCAACCACCGTCTACTCTGTGCTTCTGTGTTTTGACCTTTTTAGATTCCACATGTAAACGACACAGGACCTGATCTCAGGCACCCGAGGTGGCATGCAGGGATCTCAAGTGGTGACCTGATCCGCTCTACCAGGACGCCTGCTTCCATCCATACCGTTTTCCATGGCGACCGCGTCAGCATTGCTACCAACAGGGTTACAGGTTCTCCTTCCACACGCCAGCCGGCACTCGGTGTCCTTTGTCTTTCTGATCGTGGTGATGTGATGTCTCACCGTGGCTTTTGCTCGCATTTCTCTGGTGATTAGTGATGTTGACCAGCTTTTAATTTCCCTGTTGGCCATTGTATGACCTCATTTGAGAAATGTTTGCTCATGTCCTTTGCCCATTTTTAGAATGGGCTGTCGCTGTTGCGTTGTTTGCATTCCTTAGGTCTTTGGCAGATTGACTCCATATTAGGTGTATGGTTTGCAAATGTTTCCTCCCATTCTGGAGATTTTCTCTCCACACTGGTGGTTAATTTTTAATATAATTCCACTGAGGGGGCTGGCGCTGTGGCTTACTTGGTTAATCCTCTGCCTGTGGAGCTAGCATCCCATATGGGCGCCGGGTTCTAGTCCCAGTTGCCCCTCTCCCAGGCCAGCTCTTTGCTGTGGCCCAGGAGTGCAGTGGAGGATGGCCCAAGTGCTTGGGCCCTGCACCCCATGGGAGACCAGGAGAATCACCTGGCTCCTGGCTTTGGATCGGTGCAGTACCGGCTATAGCAGCAATTAGAGGGGTGAACCAACGTAAGGAAGACCTTTCTCTCTGCCTCTCTCTCTCTCATTGTCTATAACTCTGTCAAATAATATATATATATATATATATATATATATATATATAATTCCACTTGGGACTAAGAATATGTGTTGTACGACTTCAATTGCTGTGAGTTATTGTTTATTGTTTTATAGCCCAGAATATGATTTACCCCAGTGAATGCCCCACTGCTCTACTATGGTCACTGCAGTTAATGCTCTGTGCTTCCTACCTAGATGTGGTTGATAGCAGTGTTTTTACTCTTATGTATTGGCATTTTACTTATTAATGACTGAGCAGAGAACATTGAGATCTCAAATTCTGATTCTGGATTTGTCTATTTCTGCTTTTGGTTTTGCCTGTTTTTTGGAGCCATAAACATGCTTAGGATTTTTGTGTCCTCCTTACAAAGTGCACTTCTGAGTTGTCAGTCATTAGCTGTAGTTACAGTTCTTGCCTTGGAATTGAAGAAGTCTGATTATCTATGTAGTTACACCAACTTTTTGTTGATTAGTGATTGGGTGGTCTAGCTTACTCTACTGTTACTCTTTCAATCCATCTGTGACTATATTTAAAATATGTCACTTGAAAAATTTATTTATTTGACAGGCAGAATGACAGAGACGGAGAGAGACTGACTCTCCATCTGCTGGTTCACTCCCCGCATGGTTGCAGTGACCAGGCTGGTCCAGGCCAAAGCTGGCAGCCAGGAGCTCCGTCTGGGTCTCCACATGTGGCAGGGGCCCAGGCACTTGGAGCATCTTCTGCTGCCTTCCCAGGTATTAGCAAGGATCTGGATTGGAAGTGGAGCAGCCAGGAGTCTTACCAGCTCTCTGATATATGACGCTGGCGTCGGAGGCAGCTGGCCCACTGAGCCATGACACTGGCCCCCCTAAAATGTATCTCTCTCTCTCTTTTTTTTTTTTTTTTAAAGATTTATTTATTTGAAAGTCAGAGTTACAGAGACACAGAAAGAGAGAGAGAGAGAGAGAAAGAGAGAGAGGTCTCCCATCTGCTGGTTCACTCCCCAGGTGGTCACAACGGCTGGAGCTGCGCCAGTCTGAAGTAAGAAGCCAGGAGCTTCTTCCAGATCTCCCACACAGGTGCTAGGGCCCAAGCACTTGGGCCATCTTCCACTGCTTTCCCAGGCCATAGCAGAGAGCTGGATCTGAAATGGAGCAGCCGAGTCTCGAACCTGCGCCCACATGGGATGCCGGTACTACAGGTGGTAGCTCTACCTGCTACACCACAGCGCCAGCCCCCAGCAGAATAACTGAGTCTTACTGTTTGTGTCTGATGATGCCTTCCTTTTAAATAGAGTGTTTAGTTTATGTACATTCATTATCATTACTAATACTCAAGAGTATCTTCTTTGTTTTGTGTTCCATCTGTTTCTGGTTTCCTTGTAGCCTTCTTTTGGATTAATTGAATAATTTTGGTATTTAGCTTTATCTCTGTAGTCAACTATTTATATTTGTTTGATCTAATTTTAGAGATTATTCTTTGTATTACAATATTCATCCTTACCTTAGAGCAGTTAAATTAAATTAAAATACCATGTTAATTTGCCTTAAATTAATAGTGTACCATTTCATGTAAAATACAATAAATTTTGACAGTAGAATTTCATTTATTCCCTTGTAGCACTTGGGCCATTTTTTTATCAGAATTTTTATGTCTATATATGTTATAAACAGCAAAACTAGCTTTTATCCTTTTTACTCTCGACAGTTTTAAGACTTCAGGAAACTAATGGCAATACTGTTAGCAAAATGGCGCAGTCTATGTGGCGCCATCTATGCCTCGCTCGCCATCTTAGGTGCTGGCCCGCAGGCTTCGGTCCTAAGCCCCATGGTCTAACCACCACTGTCAGCTCCACCCCCACCCTAATGGGATTCACTGCTCCTACTTCCCTGCCTGCCCCCAGCAAAGGTTTAACAGGACCTGTTCCTGAACACACTTCTCTTGATATCTCTCTTACCCTCTTGCCCTCTCCCCACCCCAGCCCGATGGGCATCCCCCACCCAACAGTAAACCTTTTTTTTGGCGACCTTACATTGGTGCCGTGACTCGGATCCAGGCTCCCCCAATGACTTGCTCTCCCTTCGGGGATCTCTGAGCTACCTTGGCGTCCTGGATTTCTGCCAGTCACAAAACGCACCCCCAGAACTCCTTCCACGCCATGGGATGCTCCGTGATCTCCATCCACGCACCAGCCCTTCAAATTCTGAGGTAAGACACAGAGCAGGAAATTCTCACAGCGACCTCAACTACGGGTTGTGGTTCCCTTCTGCTTTGTCTCAAAGTCCTGGTACCAGGCACCACAACTGCCTATGGCCTTGTGCCACTGTGGACTTGGTGTCCAGGCAACAGTGGGTGTGTGTGACAACTCAACCCCATTTCCCTTCTATGGGCAAAGTCCTGGGCTGCAGTGGGTGCGTGGGTGACGACCCTGCTCTCTGTTCCCATATGGTCCGCTTGGATGGCCATGATCTCAGGACACGGATATCCGCAGAGTCGACTTTACAGGTCGCCACGGGAGCTGCTGCTTCCCGCATTCCACCTGATTCTCCTCTGAGTTGTCTTCTAAGTAATATGATCCCTCTCAAATTGCCCCAGACCTCCAACGCTGACCCTGATAACCTTTATCACTTCTCTGAGAGTGATTGAGAGAATGGAAGGAGATCCCATATGTTTTCTCCTATCTTCGATCTAAATCTTCTCTGTGTACTTCCTGCTCTCCGGCCCAGGTCCTTTTGGCCTCCAAAGTTCACACTAGAGGTCAAGGCCTGAGCTGAATCCCCTTCTGTGTTGGCTGCCCCAGCTTTCACTGTCTCGGCTCACTGTACCTCCCCCTCCTGCCCAGGAATTCCAACTTTATCACAGAACCAGGCCTTGTCCAAAGTCTACACCCCCTGTCTTATCAATGATCCTCCCAGAGAAGCAAGGGCAAGTTCACCTTCACCCTCAGGCCTAGTCCTCCAACTGGTCTTTGCCCCTCCCTCCCATTCCAATTTTACCATAAGAATAGAAAAGGGAGTGGGGACTCCATCCTTCAGAGCTCCCTGTTAACTGCACAACAAATTAGGTATCCACCCTTCTGATGGCTCTTTTGCTTTTTCTATTTTCTATTTATTTATTTGACAGGTAGAGTTATAGACAGTGAGAGAGACTGAGACAAAGGTCTTCCTTCCGTTGGTTCACCCCCCCAAATGGCTGCTATGGCCAGCGCTGTGTCGACCCGAAGCCAGGAGCCAGGTGCTTCTTCCTGGTCTCCCATGCAGGTGCAGGGGCCCAAGCACTTGGGCCATCCTCCACTGCCCTCCTGGGCCACAGCAGAGAGCCAGACAGGAAGAGGGGCAACCAGGACTAGAACCCGGCGCCCATATGGGATGCTGGCACCGCAGGTGGAGGATTAACCTAGTGAGCCTTGGTGCCGGCCCCTGGCTCTTTTGTTTTATCATGAGCAAGCCAGACAGGATAATAAGGTCTTTTGATGTTTTTTTTTTGTTTTGTTTTGTTTTGTTTTGTTTTTTTTTTTGTCCCCACCATGTAACTGAATACCAAGCCAGGTCTCCCCAGTTCCTACAGACTTGATTTCCTGGTCTCATTAGCAAGCATTTCCTAGGCTGGCACTTTAAACCAGCTGGCTCACAGGGTCAGTTACTGTTTTCAGACATCTCTCCTTTTCCCTAATTGCCCCTTACTCTGTCACCTATCAGATCCTCCTTAAAAATCTCTGTCCAACCATCTACTCTGATGGATGCTCTCCCCTATTAAACCTAACATAATGGTGAACAATCTCCAGTGAACTTCTTGTCCGTGGCACATCAGCCCACAGCCCACAGTCAGTCCCCCCCAGTGGCTGACTGTTGACCAGGCATCATTGGCCTATGGTGTTCTTGGGATAAAAAGCAACTGTAACTGGACATAGGGTTTGAAGAAATTTCTCTCTTTTGAATTTAGGAAGATCACTTGCCAAACTTATTTTTCAATTTGTTTTTACAGGTTTCTGATGATATGAGAATGGGTAATCAGTACTCAATGAAACAGCAATGGGCAATCAGTACTTGTTATAGCCCCTAAGGTAGATTTTACAGTCTCTGGTTTAATGTCTTTGATTTATAGCTAGATTTTTATAAAAGGAGTAGGGTTCCATATGAATGCAATTTTGACCTTAATTGAGAGAGAGGTATAATATAATATCAGCATCTTAAGTCATTTAGGTGTATCTGCTAAATGTGAATTGGGTAAAGGCAAATGAGATAAATGTGTCTAAATATACACTTTGGTACTCTTAGCATCTTATATTCTATAGAAAAACTACTTGGGTTTGTTCCCTGTTTTGACAGGGGAAAATATTTTTAATTAAACAAATATGTTTTCATAAACTGTCTATGAAGAATAGTTGAACACTGCTTAAAAGTAACTAAGGCTGAAATTTGATGTGTTACCTTATTTTAAAAATGTTGTCTTAATTTGGAGAGTTTTAACAGGTTATTTCAAAATGTAAAACAAGGAAATCAGCAGATAAAGAAAGGGCTGTGTTTGTAAGAATTAAGTTGAGTAAGGTATGTAGAAGTCACAGAAGGTTATGAAAGAAAGAAATTTTTGGATACAAAAGCTATTAATCTATCTCTCTTTGACATAGAATTAGAATTTGATTCTCTGTTAAAGCAGTGAGGTTTTTGCAATACATATGTTAGTAAATATTTTTAAATTGTCTTAAAAATCTGTTTAAAACCTGTAGCATCTCCTTTTGATAGTTGTGTTTAACTGATGACCCTCTGTCAGTTTTCTAGCTAGTTCCAGTAAACTATTTTCTCTTCCCTAGTTCTGACTCTGTTAAAACTGTTCCAAATTATGGGATTTGATTCAATGCACTAGCTCTTAAATTTAAGGTTTTCTTTCTGATTTTTGGAATGACCAAAGAGACACAGATTTTGTGTTATGTTAAACTAATCTATTATGTTCCCTTAATGTCTCTGTTAAGTTCTAATTGTTTAAAAACAGTTTTTTATTAATAGTTATGGTTTGTTTAAATATATGCTTATTCTAAAACATTTGAGTAATCACCTTGTAACAATGATCAGATTTGGTCTGTCTCATGTCATGATGTTAAGGGATCTTATTTCAACCAGATATTTTAAGCCTTCTTGGCATCCTTGACAGGTATTAAAAAAAAATTAAAGTTCCAAAGAATTTGGACTTTGAAACTTCCAGTTGGACCCCTGGAAATATCAAAGGATATATATCTCTCCTCTTGTACAGACACCAAATAATCAGGCTATTTGGATTATATTACAGGTTCTGTCAAGATGTGAAATGGTGCTAAGTTTTAAGTTCCAATAATGTAAAATGCTACTGATACAAATATGCAAAAGTTAAAAAGTCTAATGATCTTGTGTTACCAGATGTGGTGGTTGTCTTAATGAGAAAGGTCCAGAGGCCTAAAAGGGTTAAATGTTTTGTAAAAATCCTACAGGTGCTTTCCAAGATACTGTGTGGAGTAAGCAAGTGCCTCTTGTTGGTTAATGAGTTTATGATTTTAAACGTGGCAATTTAAAGTCTTTTGTCAACCACAGTTTTGTATATCAGATTTGCGGCTCATAAAACTGAACATTGTTGGTTCTGTGTTTAGCTGTCCTCTTATGGGTTCTGATGGACTTTTTCCAGCCGTTTCTATTGTATTCAATACTTCGAGTGGCTCTGTAAACAGATGAAGCCAATAATGCATTATAGGTTCCAACTGAGAGAAAGTATGGTTAATTGAGGTTCCTAAGAGCAGAAGGTAATTTGAATCAATCGGTAGCTTACAAAAAAAAAAAAAAAAGTTAAAGATTTTAAGAAGCTACTACTGAAACGGCTTTATTCTATCTTGTATGTTATGTTATACATGTGTACATATTGTATGTCTATATGGGAAACTTTATTAAGAACTCTGTTTTAATTGGTTTATAGATAAAAATTGCTCATAAATTTAAACTGCTAAAATTAATCAAAGATATGTTTTGATTCATGTGACATGAATCTCTGTATCAGATATTTTAAATTTGTTGGTAGAAAGAAACTAAAATTGTTTGTACATGTTTGAGCTTGAGTTTGCTGGTCAAACAAGCTACACCAAGTTAGATATTTAAGAGATGTTTCCAAATACATGTATTCTTAAAGTTTATAGAAGGCGTTGGATCTCTGGTAAATGTTCTCATAAGTTGTTATTTAGTGGTTGCAATTGCTTGCTAAGTTTTCATTTATACTGCTGTTGTCTTTAAGGGATCTGGGACTGGCTCCCTCATTTCTCTATTCTAAGCCTGACTTTTCCCCTCATTTCTCTATTCTCTTTAAGATTGGAAACTGACTATACTGAAGGAGTCTCCAGGATGTACAGTTTGATTTTTGGATTTTATAAAAGGGATGGCTAACATTTTCTGTAATAATAGCATAGCCAAAATGAGAGTTTAAGTTACCATTTCACAGCTAGGTTTACTTCACCTCGGGCACAGTAAACAGGCAAAAACCTCCCTTTCAGACCAAGCAAAGGGAGAGAAAGTTTTAAGGTGAGGACATAGCTTTCCTCATGGGCATTGTCTACCCACAAAACCACTACCAGAACATGCCCGTGACTAGACTTCTAGTTTAGGCCATCGAAGTTTAGAGCTGGGACCTGAGCACCCCCTGGGCTGGCATCCTTTGGTCTGCTTTAACAAAAACCAAGAGGGAAAGAAAGCTGGGCATCAAAAGCAATGTAAAGATAGATGGCAGGCCAATTCAGGCTGCTTTGTACAGTGATCTGCCACCAAGGAGACCCAACAGGCCAGTCCACTGCAGTGGCTTTCAGTGTGGAAAGCCCTGACCAGCCAAGAGTTGGGTCACTGGAAATGACACTGCCCCGGAGTCCGAGGACTGCAGGTCAGAGCCACAGACCTCACTGGCTCTAAACTGAGAAGCCCTTCACTCTGCCCAGCTTCCAAGTAACCACCGCTGCTGAGGGGACGGCCAGGTAACACTGTACACAGTAACTGTACATTTCCTGTTGGAGATGCCAGCTCTCCTCCCAGGCCAGCTAGGGAATGGAAGTCAACAGGGTGCCTCCCTCAAGGAAGTTCACATCTCCCGTAGGATGTACCCCATGTGAAGAGATAGGTCTGGGCCTCCTAACTGGCAAGGCCTTAAAGCTCACCTGACAATTATCAGGCCCCTTTCCTCAGCTTCTATTGGCCTCTCAATTAGAAAACTTAGTCGTGCCACCTTAGGATCATGGGTTACTATTCTCACCCTGTCTTTTATACTACTCTATCTGTTTAAGTGTTTACAGGAGGTGATAATGGAATGAACAAAGCCCTCACCAACCAGGCGGTCAGTCAATTGCTGCTACAGGGATATACTCGGCTCCCCACCCAGGAGACAGCGGCTCGAGACATCGCCCCATGCCGGCAGAGAGTACCTCGTCACCCCATGTCAGCAGGAAGTAGCCCTAGAGACAGATTATCATCCCTCTACCCCTCCTGGACTCTTGCTTTATATTAAAAAAAAAAAAAAAGAGGGGAATGTTAGCAAAATGGCGCAGTCTATGTGGCGCCATCTATGCCTCGCTCGCCATCTTAGGTGCTGGCCCGCAGGCTTCGGTCCTAAGCCCCATGGTCTAACCACCACTGTCAGCTCCACCTCCACCCTCATGGGATTCACTGCTCCTACTTCCCTGCCTGCCCCCAGCAAAGGTTTAGCAGGACCTGTTCCTGAACACACTTCTCTGATCTCTACCCGCTTGCCCTCTCCCCCAAGCCTGTCGGGCTTCCTCTCCTGCCCCCAACAATAAACCTTTCCTCTAACTCTGGTGTTTGGTGTGTTTTGTGGAGGCCTTACAAATTCTATTCTGTATCTAACCACGTATTTCTTATATTTATGTCATTCATTCATTTATTTATTTATTTCAGAGGCAGAGTTTGAGACAGAGGGAGAGACAGGAAGATCTTCCATCCACTGATTCACACCCCAAATGGCTGCAGCAGCCATGCTGGGCCAATCTGAAGCCAGGAGCCAGGAGATTCTGCCGGGTCTCCCACGCAGGTGCAGGGGCCCAAGCACTCGGGCCATCTTCTGCTTTCTCAGGCCATAAGCAGGGAGTGGAATCAGAAGTGGAGCAGCCAGGACAGGTTGAGGCTTAGGCCACTATGCCACAATCCCACCCCCTCCGCATTCCTTCCTTTTTTTTTTAAGATTTATTTATTTGAAAGGCAGAGTTACAGAGAGGCAGAGTTGAGAGAAAGAGGGCTTCCATCTTGTTGTTCAGTCCCTTATTGGCTACAATGGCCAGAGCTGGGCCAATCCGAAATCAGGAGATTCTTCCAGGTCTCCCACACAGGTGCAGGTACCCAAGCACTTGGCCATAAGTAGTGAGCTGGATGGGAAGTGGAGCAGCCAGGACTTCAGCGGCGCCCACCAGGCCTGCCGGTGCCCCAGGTTGAGGCGTAGTCCACTAGGCCCCCGCAGCGACCTCCCCTCATTCCTTCTTGTGGATGTAGGTCTCTGTCTGAGCTGAGTTCTCTTTAGCCTGAGAAACTCTGATGCTTGTCCTGTGGGTCTTGCTCTGACAAAATTTTTTAGCAACAAATTCTCTCAGCTTTTGTCTGATGATCTATATACTTCTTAAATTTTTTTTATTTGAAAGAGTTAGAGGAGGAGAGACAGGGAGAGAGGGGTCTTCCATCTGCTGTTTTACTCCCTAAATCGCCCTAGTCGTCAGCATTGGGCTAGGCCAAAGTCAGGAGCCACGCCCTTCATCCGGGTCTCCCACGTGGGTGACAGGACCCAAACCCTTGGGCCATTTTCTGCAGGTTTTCCCAAGTGCATTAGCAGGGAGTGGGTTTGGAAGTGGAGCAGCCAGGCCTGGAACCCGCATCCATATGGGAAGATGGTGATTTAACCCCTTGGGCCCCAGCCCCTTCCTCTGTTTCCCGTGAAGTCAACTGTCTTTCCTGTTGCTGTTCATCTCAGTGTGACTGCTGTGCATCTTCTCCCCATCCCTTATGTTTGATTTCCCATTTTTAAAAGGAATAAAGACTTATCTGAAGTCAGCACCGACCCCAAGGCACTTTAAAAACAGGAGAACGTGGCTCTTATTCAGAGAATAATGAATCAATGGGAATAATTACCAGATGACTCAAATGTTAGACTTATCAGTCAAGAACTTAAACAGTTAGAATTATTGTGTCAATTGGCAGAGGAGGAGCCGGGGTTGTGGCCCAGCGGGTAAAGCTGCCGCCCGTGACGCTGGTGTCCCGTGTGGGTGCTGGTTCAAGTCCTGACCCTGAGATCTGCAAGGTTACAGGCAGCAGAACCCAGCCAAGCGGCTACACCCGAGCTTTGTCGTGGCGGCGGTGCGTGGTCTTGCACCTGGGGGAGTGAGGGACTGGAGACAGCTGGGCCAGGGAGCCTCCTAGGAGAGGTTTCGAAAGGAGACGGATTCAGTGGGCACAGTGGCTTCTCTCCCGTCCTTCCCCTTCTTGATGGAAACGTGGATGTGATGGTTGGAGCTGTGGGAGTCCTGTGGAGAGCGCGAGGACCCGGTCCCGCCCCGCGGGTGCGGAGCGCACAGAGGGAAGGCGATGGGGCGTCCTGGGCTTCCCCGCCGCTGGGAGCTGTCCCGCAGGAAGCAAATGGGCTTCATTTTGGCCAAGTTGCTGTCTTTTGGCTTTCTCCGCCGCGAGAGCCCGATACAACTCTGAACTGCCATGGGAGTTACAGGAGTAATTTCCTCTTCATAGTTTTCATTGTGGGAACTTTGAAACACGTCCAGACGCAGAGCAAGTGGTCATCGCCCAGATCAGCAATGAGCATCCCGCACTCCGTCTCGCCCCTCCTCCCCGGGGCCGACTTCTGCAGGTGTCGCTTCTGTGGGTGCCATGTTGTCTTCAGCCCACTTCCATCAGATGAGCCTCTTCACGCCCCACCCACCCCAGACCTCAACCCACCTTCTCCGATGCCCATGTAGCCTGCTTGGACCTCCAGGGCTGAGGCCCCCAGTGTGTGGCGTTCCATCCCCACCCCGGCTCTCTTCGGAACCACCCCTCCTTTCAGCGGGAACAGGGCTGCAGGCAGGGGCCAGCCCCTCCCTCGGCCTTGGCTGCTTTTCACCTGGGAACCGCTTGGTCTCCCTGGAGTGCGTTCCTGCAGGTCTCCATGCCCTTCCAGGCGGCACCAGGGAGGGGCTGGAGGGCAGGAAGGAGCGGCAGCACTAGGCCCTCACCCTCTGTCCTGGGACGGCGGCAGACGCGGCTCTTGCTGCGTGGTGGAGCTGTCCCTCTCCGTGTCCCCCTGCCTCAGGCCCTGCTCTCCGGCCGCCTCTGCACACTTGGGCCTGCTTTGCCCAGGAGGGTCCTGGTTCACACGCGCTGTACCCAGCGTATTTACTCAAAGCGCCCTTCTCACTCTGCAGGTCCAGGTCACTCTAAGGCCAAACCCCAGGCGAAGCTCTCTGTTGATACTCAATGCGGAAATTCAGCTGTGGGCGTGCCCAGCAGACACTTTGTCCCTGTTTGGCCGACTACAGCTCTTCCTCGTAATAAGTGCTTGCTTCCACACTAACTGGAAGTGGACTTGAGCAAACTCAACTTCTACACAACAAAGCTGATCAAAAACTTCCTTACAGCAGGGTGTGGGAGGGGGGAGGTAGTGCCCTCCGGGAGCAGAGTGCCTGTGTGCACAGGTGGTCAGCGGGATGCTGGTGGGCACTGGGGGTTTGGCAGGTGGGACTGAGAAAGACAAATAGCAAGGCTCCAGGCTGCTGCTGGCTCAGGTGAGGGGCTTGAGGGTGCAAGGTGAGAGGAGACGAGATGCCTCACCCAGGGAGACCCCTGACCCCTGCAGCCCTCCTGGCTGCTCCTCCCAGTCCTTGTGGCACAGCCACCAAGGGAGGACCCTGGGAAGGGCCACAGACCACAGACTTCTGGGATGCGGGCTCAGAGACAAACACCGGAGGGATCCGGGATGAGGGTGTAGGACAAACCAGAGACGGAGCGAGCGGGTGAGACGGAGGGAGACTCCGTAAGGCAGAGGCCCATTGGCACCGGCACCGGCACCGGCAGGCCAGCAGAGGGAATGGCAGTCTGAGGAAGGGTGCAGCGCAGTGTCGGGCTGTGGTAGGAGCGGAGGCTGCCTGCTGGAGCCACAGCTCCCAGTGCAGAGGGGCAGCCCGCCCGCCCCAGCCCTCAGCCCTCCCTTCAGGCTTCCCCACCCCCAGCCCGAGCGCTCTCCCCAACCCTGGCCCTGCCTGCTTCTCCTGGGAAGTGCCAGCAGAGCGAGTGTTCAGCCCCCAGGGAGGAGGCGGCAGGCACAGCAGCTGTCCCTAGGCTCCTGCTCTGGCTGTGTCCCCACCCCAGGAGGCGCGGCGCCCGCCCTGTCCCTGGTGTTGCTATGCTGAGGGGCCCTGCCTTGTGGGCTGCCTGCGAGCCCTGTGCTGGCCCTGAGGGCCCTGCCAGCACGAGCTATGGTAATCCTGGCCCTCCTAGCTGGCGGCGGCCAGACTCCTGGGTGCCCTGCTCTGAATGGAGATGCATAGGCATAGCCTGCAGAGAGGCAGAGCCCAGTGCCCACTGCCACTGTGGAAGAGGCTGGACTCTGGCCCACGGAGGTGCTGGAGCTTGGCCTGTGTGCTCTGGGGCCTCTCGGATGCTGGGTTGGGTAAGGGTGCCACTAGGGGTGGGGCGGGGGGTAGGCAGGTGCCCTGGGGACAGGGACTCTAGAACCCCCACCCACCCCCAGGAAATCTTGCTGTGGGCAAGGCAGGAAAGCGCAGGCTGTGCCCTCCCCCGAGGACAAGCGTGTGGTCAGCCAGTGTCTTTATTGGGAGAGGGATCCAGTCTCCTGGGCTCGGCCAGCGCCCTAGGTCATGAGGATTTCAATGTCGAGCTCCAGCCGGCTGGCTCTGACTTCATAGCGGCCCCGGATCAGGCCCCGGGTCTGGCTGGCATGCCAGCGCCAGTGAGACTGGATGACGCAGGCCGCTTGGCGCGCCTGGAGGAACCGTCTGCGGGCCTGCCACATCCGGACCTGTGCCTGCACCTTCACCACCGCCCACTCCTGGCAGGTGTAGAGTCTGAGCGCCAGGCGCCGTCTTTGCTCCAACATCTTGGCCTGCATGGACCTCCACCAGCACTGGATGATCCAGGCTCTGAGCGCCGCGTGCAGCAGCGTCCGGCGCACCACGGTGCCGCGCCACCATGACTGAATCCTCGTGGCTGCCTTCTCTAACTGATCGAAGGGGAGGAAAAAGAGAAGCTCTGTGGGCCACCCTCCTAGACCCATCCCTGCCTCTGGTGCCCTGGGGGGATGGGGGGCCCGGCCCAGGTGGCTCTGCTTCCTTGTTTCTGGCCCCGTTGATCTTATTTCCAAGCCCCCACTCACCTTGAGACACTGCTCACTATCTGTCGGGCAGTTGCCTTCCATAAGGGCCTCGCTCACGTTTTGTGTGTCCATGGTCCTGGTCTTTAGCACCCACTCACCCATCACTTGGGCCATCACTCCAGGCTGCAGCCCCGCCCTTAACTGTTAGGCACACCCAGTGGACTCCGCCCACTTCCAGTCTCCACTTTGCAGGTCTGCCAGTCCGCAGCTTGGCCACACCTCTCGCCCCTCTTGGCTTCCCGAGTCCCCATGGGGATGGTTTATTGATTGCCCTCGCCGGGGGTGCCTGCCTTAATCTCGGGCACTCAGTTGGCTTCTCAGACCCAAGGGGCATTGGAAGTCTTGCTCCGTCTACACTGCCAGCCACTGCTGGTGGCAGTGAGGAGAGAGGAGTGCGACTTTCCTACAAGTAAGTGGAGTGACCGGAAGGAGACCCACAAACTAGGGCTTTCCTGAGGGGCCCCAGCGGCGTCCTCATAGAGTCGTATGTTTCTGGGTAAAACGGTGAAAGCAAAAACAGACGGTTTCTCTGTGGTTGGCAGGGAGCTCTGCCTCTTCTCTCACTGCCTCTGTTCGCCTTTGCCCTCTTGGCTGCGAAGGCGCCTCCTGCTGGGGTGGGGCTGGATGCCCCGCACCCGGGCTCAGCCGCACAGGTGCCTGTGGTGCTCTCCAGCCATTCTGCGCTTGCAGCGTTCACCTGAGTCATGGCACGGGGCGGCGTGGGGGCAGAAGTGCTGTTGGCCCAGGGTGCCTAGCACCGCAGGTATGTGGGCTGGGACGAGTTGGGGTGGGCATAAAGGCCTAGCTGGTTGAGACACCCGCATCCCAAGCCTACACGCCTGGATTAAATGCCTGGCTCTGGCTCCTGGCTCCAGCTTCCTGCTAGTGCAAACCCTGGGAGGCAGCTGGCGGTAGCTATACTAACTGGATTCCTGCCGTCCACTTAGGAGACCAAGGTGGTGTTCCTGGCTTCCAGCTTCGCTTTGGCACAGCTCAGGTTGTGTATATTTGGGAGAGTGAGTGAGCAGTTGGGAATTCTCTGCTTCTCAAATACATCTTTTAAAGTGTGGAGCAAGGCCAGGGTGTGGCAAAGGGTTAAACAGCCACCTGCATCACCAGTATCCCGTATCAGAGGCATCCTGTATAAGCACTGGTTCAAGTCCCAGCTGTTTCACTTCCAATTCAGCTCCCTGCTAATGGCCTGGGAGAAGCCACAGAAGATGACCCAAGTGTCTGGGCCTCTGCCACCTATGTGGGTGATCTGGCTGAAATTCCTGGCTCAGCCGGGTCCATTGTGGCCACTCGAGGAATGAACCTGCAGACGGAAAATCTTTCTTTCTAACTCCATCTTTCAAATAAATCTGAAAATAAAATTCATATGAGGAAGCACTAAAATTTATGTGGCTAAAAATGCAGGGAAATACTATAGAGGTGGGACAGTTAGTATATTGTTAGCTTTGCGATATTTGCCACCTTTTTTTTTTTTTTTTTTTTTTGACAGGCAGAGTGGACAGTGAGAGAGAGAGACAGAGAGAAAGGTCTTCCTTTTGCCGTTGGTTCACCCTCCAATGGCTGCCGCGGCCAGCGCGCTGCAGCCGGCGCACCGCGCTGATCCGATGGCAGGAGCCAGGAGCCAGGTGCTTTTCCTGGTCTCCCATGGGGTGCAGGGCCCAAGCACCTGGGCCATCCTCCACTGCACTCCCTGGCCACAGCAGAGGGCTGGCCTGGAAGAGGAGCAACCGGGACAGAATCCGGCGCCCCGACCGGGACTAGAACCCGGTGTGCCGGCGCCGCTAGGCAGAGGATTAGCCTAGTGAGCCGCGGCGCCGGCCGCCACCTTTTTTTAAAAAATTATTTGAAAGGCAGAGTGACAGGGAGGGAGACGTGCATTTAGCTTCCCGTGGCTCTCTCACCATGGCTGTGGTGCTGTCCGTCTGGGAGTCCTACAGGTTCTGGTCTCGCTACCAACCAAGCAACCTCTCTGCCTCATGTTTAAAGCCCTTGGAGGGGTGTATCCTACCACTGCGTTTAGTGCTGGTCAATCTGGCTGAGCAGAGCTCTGGTTTAAGCCACTCAAAAGCCTGCATTAAACTGTCCACCCCAGTCAGACGTCCACTCCCATAGAAAGGATCCCTTTCCGGGGGCCGGGGGCATGGCCAGCGTTGCCCAGGACCTCTCTCCTGCTCCACGCCGGCCTGGTTGGGCGCTGCCATTACATCCCACCTTTGCTCCTCCTTGGCTATCCCTGGGGAGAGCTGTGCGCCCCTGTGTGGCGGCGGTTGTGTGGGTACCGCAGAGTGGCAGCAGGTGCGGGTGGGGAGCAAGGCGGTCGTCCCGTGGCTTCCTGTATCTCCCGGCCGCCGCCTGTGTCTCTATTTTCTCCCTGATCCTTCCCTGGCTTCCTGTGCACTTGATTTTTTCCCCCCCGATCATAAATATAGAAAACGTCTGTTGCTAAAATTTCAACAAGCAGAGACACATACAGTGGAAAGTTAATGTGGCATGAAAATTGTCTTCCAGTGTTATCCCTCCATACCTTGTAGCTCATATTGTTGGCTTAAATGTTTGATGAAAATAATTTATTTTCAATTAGACATCTGAAACACAGATCTATGCCTGTAAAAATTCACATATTTCAAACCCAGATTTTTCTGGATGATGGGTATTTCTTTCCCTGCATCATTGCCAGTGCCAGCTTGGGGGACACTGCAGACGATGAGCCAGGCATTCCTAGACACTGTGCATCCACGTTCCTAATGCTGCTTTGTTCCTGTGTATTGTTTTAGTAATTGCAAGCTCACATGGCATAAGATTGACAATTTTAACTATTGTAAAGTATGATAATGCCATAGCTCCTAGTACATTCATAGTGTTCTGCAACCACCACCACTATCTAATTATGGGTTCTGACTTCATCTAGTCTCCAAAAGATGCCCCGGCCGGCGCCGCGGCTCACTAGGCTAATCCTCCGCCTGCGGCGCCGGCACCCTGGGTTCTAGTCCCGGTCGGGGCGCCGGATTCTGTCCCGGCTGCCCCTCTTCCAGGCCAGCTCTCTGCTGTGGCCCGGGAGTGCAGTGGAGGATGGCCCAAGTGCTTGAGCCCTGCACACGCATGGGAGACCAGGAGAAGCATCTGGCTCCTGGCTTTGGATCAGTGCAGTACCGGCCGAAGCGGCCACTTAGGGAGTGAACCAACCAAAGGAAGACCTTTCTCTCTATCTCTCTCTCACTGTCTAATTCTGCCTGTCAAAAAAAAAAAAAAAATGCCCACGTCCGTTAACCAGTCACCACCCCAGCCCTGGTATCATCTGCTATCGGTTTCTCATTTGCTTATCCTGAACATTTCATATGAATGGAATAATACAATGTGTGGCCTGTTGTGGCTGACTTCAAGGTTTGGTCATTTTCGTTCTAGCCATTTTATTTGGAGTGACATGTTATCTGTGGTTTTGATACGCATTTCCCTGTTGCTCCCCAATCCCATACTTGTTGGTCATTTGCATATCTTCCTTTGAGAAATGACAATTAAGATTATTGACCCTTTGCAAGTCAGATTGTTCTTTATGCTTTCGAGATTTTTTTTTCATTTGTATTTTCTGGATAGTAATCCCTTCTCAGATACTTCGTAAAGGTTGTCTCTTCCCTCTTGTTGTACAGAACATCCTGTATTCACATAATTCCATCTGTCTTTTTTTTTTTTTTTTTTTGATAGGCAGAGTGGACAGTGAGAGAGAGAGACAGAGAGAAAGATCTTCCTTTTGCCGTTGGTTCACCCTCCAATGGCCGCCGCGGCCAGCGCGCTGCAGCCGGCGCACCGCGCTGATCCGATGGCAGGAGCCAGGAGCCAGGTGCTTCTCCTGGTCTCCCATGGGGTGCAGGGCCCAAGCACCTGGGCCATCCTCCACTGCACTCCCTGGCCACAGCAGAGGGCTGACCTGGAAGAGGGGCAACCGGGACAGAATCCAGCGCCCCAACCGGGACTAGAACCCGGTGTGCCGGCGCCACTAGGCGGAGGATTAGCCTAGTGAGCCGCGGCGCCGGCCCATCTGTCTTTTTTTTAAAAGACTTATTTATTTTAAATTATTACTAGAATCCTGTTACTTTTTTAAAGGTTTATTTATTTGAAAGTCAGAGTTGCACAGAGAAAGGAAAGGCAGAGAGAGAGAGAGAGAGAGAGGTCTTCCAACCATTGGTTCCCTCCCCAGTTGGCTACAATGGCCAGAGCTGCACCAATCCAAAGCTAGGAGCTTCTTTCAAGTCTTCTACGCAGGTGCAGGGCCATCTCCTACTGCTTTCCCAGGCCACAGCAAGGAGCTGGGTGGGAAGTGGAGCAGCTGGGTCTCGAACCGGCGTACCCATATGGGATGCTGGTGCTCCAGGCCAGGGCTTTAACCTGCTGGACCACAGCACCGGCCCCAAGACTTATTTATTTGAAAGGCGGAGTTAGAGAGAGAGCTTCCATCCACTGGTTCACTCCTCAAATGGCTGCAATGGCCAAGGCTGGGCCAGGAGCTTCATCTGGGTCTCCCATACAGGTGCAGGGACCCAAGAACTTGGGCCATCCTCCACTGTTTTCCCAGGCCATCAGCAGGGAGATGGATTGTAAGTGGAGCAGACAGGACTAGAACCTGCACCCATATGGGATGCTGGTGTCACAGGAGGTGGCTTTACCTGTTATGCCACAACACCAGTCTTGTATTTTTGTTCTTGGCTTGTGCTTTTGGAATTGTATCCAAAGAAGTCTTCGCACTTGAAGTGTCTTCACTATTTTTTTTTTTTTATTTTTTAGGTTGGTTTCTTTATTTGAAAGTCAGAGTTACACAGAGAGAGAAAGAGAGAGGCAGACAGAGAGAGAGGTCTTCGATCTTCTGGTTCACTCCCCAGATGGCCACAACAGCCAGAGCTGCGCCTATCCGAAGCCAGGAGCCAGGCCCTTCTTCTGGGTCTCCCATGCGGGTGTAGGGGCCCAAGGACTTGGGCCATCTTCCACTGCTTTCCCAGGCCATAGCAGAGAGTTTGATGGGAAGCGGAGCAGCCAGGACTTGAACTGGCACCAATATGGGATGCTGGCATTGCACGCAGCAGCTTTACCCACTCACCAAACGCCGGCCCCAA